CAAAGATCTCGTTGAAGTCCTGCTTCTCCTTCTGCATAAACCCCTTCGCCACCAGCCTACTCTTGTAGATGGTGACCTGCCCCTTGTCATCGGTCTTGATCCTCAGCACCCACTTGCATTGTATCGCTTTCTTCCCATCAGGCAGCACCACCAGATCCCATGTCCTATTCTCCAGCAGACTCTGGTACTCAGCATCCCTAGAAGCCAGCCACTTGTCCCTATCTGGTCCAGCTAATGCCTCCTCCATGCTAGCTGGTTCCTCTGGTGCAGGGGCAAGAAAACAGTACGCAGGCTCATCCTCCTCATCCGGGTCATAGCCATGAGGTAGAATCAGCAATGCCTCTTCGGTCCCTAGCTGCTGCTCTGCTGCATCAGTTCCTGCAGTCAGCTTCTTAGTAGCCATACGGGTACGTCCTGGCCTGGAGACGGGTGTCTCCCATCCCTTCATAACGACACCCTTCGGCTTCTTAGTTTTTCCCTGCTGCTTCTCTCCTCCCTCGGGTCCAGCAGCTCCACTAGTGCTGCCGCCAGTTTCCACACCATTTTCTCCACCAGCAGATGCCTCCTGTATCTTCTCTCCATCACCATTTCCAGCAGCTGCCTCCTCTCCCTCCTCCCACACACTAGGAGTCAGGTCCAGCTGCATGGTGATCTGCTCCATCTGCTGGGACACCCTTGCCTCCGGCTGTTTCTCCCAGCTCCCATACATCATGCCCTCAATGAATTTCACATCCCTGCTGTCAAACAACACACCCTTGGATGGTTCCCACAGCAGCCATCCCTTGCTCTCAGCAGCCAGCCCCAAATGCACACACCAGATTGCACTCGCCCCCAACTTACTGCGGTAGGTCTTGGGGACGTGGGCGACTGCCATGCAACCGAACACCCTCAGCATGTCCACCGGCGGCTTCCTCCCAAGCCACCTCTCCAACGGCACCCACGAGTCATCCCCAACCTTGGTGAGCACCCTGTTCCTAGCGACAGTGGCGTGCCGGACAGCATGAGGCCACATAGAATTGCTCAGCCCAGATTCTATGAGCAGCGCCCTAGCTGTCTCCAGAATGGTCCGGTTTGCCCGTTCTGCTACACCATTGGACTGTGGGGTATAAGCCGTGGTCAGCTCTCTCTGGATGCCCTGCTTCTTGAGCCAGGCCGTCATTTCAGCTCCAAGGAACTCACCACCCCGGTCTGTCCTAATCCGCTTCACTACACACTCCGCCTGCTTCTCCACGAATGGCAGCCAATCGTCCCGTATCGTGGAGGCGGCGTGGTCCTTCTGCTTCAGCGGATACGCCCACATCAGCCTGCTCCAGTCATCCACAATTGTAAGAAAATACCGCTCCCCCTTGTGCCCTTGCACCGGCAGCGGCCCCACCAAGTCCATGTGGACCAGCTCCAAAGGCTTCTTGCTCCTGCCAGCCACACTATGGAAAGGGAAACGGGTGAACTTTGAAAGCAAACAGATTTCACAGTTGTCATCGGGTGGCTGTCCGTTCAGCTTCAGACCCTTAACGGCTCCATCCTTCTCCAGCTGCTTCAGCAAAGGCATTGCCACATGCCCTAAGCGCCGGTGTGCCGTTGCCCAATCTGTCTCCCCAGATCTGGCCGACACTTTCACACCAACCCCTCCAACGGCATTGCACTCCCCCTGGGATGCAGACCCCTCTCCAGCCTGCCCCCCACCATGCCACGCCAGGGCCGGCAGCTGCCACATAGATCTGTACACGTCCTTGCTCTCGTGCAGATCCCAAAGCACCCGATTGCCCAGCTTCCCCTTATAAGTGCGTGCCCCATCCGTGTTGGTGTTCACCCCAGCCTTGCCAAGCTTACGGAGGGAGATAAGGTTGGCCTTCAGGTCGGGGACGAAGAGAACGTCGTGCAGCACCACCGGCTTGCCATCCGCTCCCTTAAACGCAGCTCGTCCCGCACCAGCCACCTTCAACATGTGTCCAGAGGCGGAGCACACTTCATTGATCGGTGCAGCTCGTACTTCGTCCAGCAGGTCCTTGCGCGGCGTCATCGTCCAAGCAGCGCCTGTGTCCAACACCCAATAGTCTAGGGGGTGCAGCTCTGCTCCAACTTTGGCAGAGGCGTCTCCTTGCTCCCCCTTGTCTCCCACATGGAAAATATATAAAAAACAAACCCTGGTACCAGCCAGAGGCGGTATAAGGGAAGCGAAGTGGTCTTTAAGTGAAACGTATCACACTAATTTGATCGAAATCTCCAATGGATGGTATATGTATATAAAAAGCGCCCATACCCTGAGATTTTTTTTTTCCAGTGGAATAAAGTGCTTTAATGCTAAAAATTTCATAAATTCATGTTTCTCAATACATCAATCTATTTGAAGAATTTAACCTTTGATCGTACACAGCGCTTCTACACTTGTGAACATAGCCAATGAAAATGAAAACATATTGTGTGAACGGTTTCAGAAGTACCAATTGCATCGGTGCAATGTTTTGTAGCGCGAGTTCTCTTTAGCAGATTCTAGTATTGCTTGTTAGAACTGGTCCTTGGTCAGGCAGCAACAGCAAGGGCAATGCTTCAAGCTACCTCTCCGCCATGGCTCCTGTTATCAAGTTCAAGGCCATCAATTTCAAGCATAACTTTATCAGTTCCAAGATCTGATGGCATATTCGGGATCTCCACATCAAGAGTTGACTATCGACGCCAACGTTATGTTCATACAGCAAACATTGGATCGTCGTCATTGCTCCTGCAGAATCTTGTTTTCCAGATCATAAACTGCACACAAGTTTCCAGACATCCAAGATGGCATCAGAAAATAAATACCGGTGTATGCCAATGCCGGGAATATAATTACAAGGAAGCATTGCAATGGAGCGTCTTCAGATTATCAGCCTTCTCTATCATTGAGCGACAATCAAAAGCAGGAATCAGAACGTCGAATCAAGCAAAAAAAATTCCTACTACAACTATTCACTCTTTACGAAGAGGACCCTTGTGGTGTAACTCTACCCTCATCGTGGCAGCTTACGGTGAAGCATAATTGCAGGTCTATTGCAGAGTCACGTTCCACTGACATAAGAAGTTCTACATGGACGGGGTGCAAAGAACTATATCATTTCTGCATGGCTGAAGCGACAGAAGGAGCAGTCATTATTTTTAATGTACCTCAGGACTGGCAGAAGGGAGAGGAAGTTGATGCCGCCGGCACTATGAACTTCACAAGAGCTAGATGGGGAATTTTGGCAGATCCTATAACACAGAAGTTTTCATGCAACTTAACGACGATAATCTATGGCATCGTGCTACGTCCATGCTTGATTTAAATGGAACCTCTCAAGGCACTCAAGAGATGGCTGCTGCTGCAAATTTCCCTCACAATTGTCACAGTCGTCGTCACCAAGGCCTTGTCAGGCACCAATTTCAAACCAGGGCAATTTCTATTGCAACCCATCATCACCACACTCGGCAAGACAGCTTTGGGGCACAAGTCAAGAGTTCTCGAAGGAAGGCAATTTCTGTCATGAAACTTCCCAGATCTGTGGAGAAGGCATTAGTTGTGCCAACTCAACCCCATCACCTGAAGAAGTGGCAAAACCCCTTGTTTCTAACGGAACTGAAATGTGGCAGTGCAATAAGATTTTTTAGGGGGCAGGTTGCAATTTTTAGGCACCTGATTTATAAACCACTGTAGATGCTTCCGCGAGGGTACGGTATGCTATACCTAGGCCCTCTAGCCCGGTTACGACCGTGGATGGTGTTTTTTGCATTGTATAATGTAATTTCACCTCCTTAAAATAATATATTTATTTATGTAATGCTTGTTACGCGCTGCCTTCATATTGCACACGACATGACGAGTATTCAGTTTCTAATCTCAGGGTTTTGAAATACCTTATATGTACAAACAGTGTCAGACACTTGTCGGACCTAGGCAGGCGCGTCAACCAATTTAGGGTCCAATGTGCTGTAATTCAACATCATATCCACATAGTGACATCGTTCCACATAGTCTTTCCTATCCAGAGCAACAATGCAGGGCGGGTGAGGATGTGTGTACTTGTTCTGTCAATGTATCTAATCGACAATCGTGGCGAGACTAATAACTGCAGCGTGCCATGTCAGCAGGTCCGCTACTGTCGCCATCAGCAATCGCGGCAAAACCGATAACCGCCGCGTGCCATATTTCCTAACGCGACCAGCGCTCGTGAATGTTTACAAGACTCAAAAATCACCTCCAGCTCGCACGTGCCCTCCTAGTAGTTTCAGTGCTCATTTTAGTAATGCCTCGTTATAGCACGGCCCGCTTCTACTACTGCAACTGTGTCCATAGCCATGAGTGGTGGTGCGAGTGCACCGTCTGCTGCTGCGAGTTGTCGCATCGACTACTCCAAGTGGGGCCACATGGGCGATAGCAGTAATGAGGAGGTGAAAGAGAGTAGCAGTGAGGAAGAGAAGGCTGACGGGGGGAGATACGAGAGAGAAGTGGTCATCGAGGGCAAGCTGATCGCATGCACTTCACGCGGTCCCAACTCAGTGTCGCCCTAAATCTGCTGCTTTCACCGCATGCTTGGCTCTCAGGGCGAGCTGGCTCTCGGCATTTCAAGCCACAAGGTCATCCGCCGCCACTTGCTTCAGCAGCTCCCCATGTCCCTTCCCCTCGTAGCACCGCATAGGCAGGGAGTAGGTAGGTCCCTGGGAGGTGATATGGGAGATAACTGAACAAGAGAGGGAGCAAAAGTACGGGCAGAGAAGGGGAAGGGAGCAGGCGAGACGGGAGCAGCAGGAGGCGGTGCGGAGTACAAGTATGAGCTCGCCGCTCACCTGTGTGCCGAGGCCATGTTGCTCGAGTGGATGGCTGAGGCTCGTGTGGCCGGGCTGATACACATGGGGAAAATCAGGTCCCGCTTGCTTGCAACCATTGGTGCTACTGCTACAGATGCTGCTGCTGTTCATAGATTACATGGTGCCCCGCCCTCCTCCTCCTCCCCCCCCCTCCTCCAAGCCCGCTCTCCCCTCGTGCACCCTCACTACCGCAATTCTTTGGTCCTGCTGCTGGCGTAGGTCAAGATGAAGTCGCGCGTATATGGGTCTGTGGCGAGCATGACTCCGCAATCTCTGAGTTGTCCTGCTGATAATAGATTGAAGCGAAGGTCTGGTACGTAGAGTACGTCGTTAAACGAGATGTCTGTGTTGCTGTCTCGGGCTTGTAGTACCACGATGCCTTGCGCGCTTGCTTGCAGTTGCTCGTTGTTGGCCACAGTAACGAAGGTGGCAGGGGCGCGGCTGATGTTGGAGATGTACCTGACGGATCCCACCATGTGTTGGCCGCAACAGCTGTCCAGGTACCAGGTGTTGTGGTTTCTGTGGTCATTGCACAAGATTAGCGCATGCCTTGGAGTTACCAGAGTTGCCTTGAATCTTCTATGAAATGCCGGACTTTTGTCCTCCTTCCATCCCACAGGTACGAAGCGCTGATTGTCGTGGGGCGGGCTTTCCCGCAGTTGCATTGTCTGGTGCCAATCTTGCTCCTCCTCGTCATACAGGTAATAGTGGTCCACTGTGAGGGGGTTGTTCCATCCGTCTTCAGGCTGAATGAGTTCGCCGCGAGGTTCTTCCTCTTCGTCTGGTTCCTCGGTGCGTGGGCGATGCCTTGTCGCCATGTTTGCGATGACGTTTCTGGGAGTTCCTGCTTGAGATGCTTGGGTCTGTTGTTGTTGTTGTTGTTGTTGTTGTTGTTGTTGTTGTTGTTGTTGTTGTTGTTGTTGTTGTTGTTGTTGTTGTTGTTGTTGTTGTTGTTGTTGTTGTTGTTGTTGTTCTTGTTGTTGAGCAGGAGGACGAGAAGTTTGTTGGTGAAGCTGAGATTGGCGAGCGTCTTGTCGGCCGACCCAATGGTCGTGGTGAGTGGAATTCGGGTGGCAATAGTTGGACCGGGACCTGCATCGGTCCGTTGAGTGTCCGAAGATTTTGCAGATTTTGCAATAGTGGCGCCTTGGTTGTCGTCGCTCTTCACGGTTGTCTGCGTAGAAGGCGAAGCGCTCTCGGCGCGGCACGGAGCTTGTCCTGCTCGAGTCCATGTCCTGCTGTTCAGTCAGGAGGGCGGCGCATAGCGCGGCTTCAGAGATGGTTCCTCGTTGTCGGAGTAGTGCTTTGCAGGGCTTCCACTTGGGCCCGAGTCCTTGGAGGGCGATGTTGACGAAGATCTCCTCCGAAATGGCGCTTCCATGCTTCGTGATCTGATCACGAATGTTCCGACAGCGGTTAATATATGTATTCGCTTTCTCCCCGTGCCCCATCTTGGTCTCCATGAGTTATTGCAGGAGCCTGTTGGCGGTGACTGAGTCCTTCGGCTGATATACCTCAACGAGGTGCTTCCAGGCTTCCAGGGCTGGAGCGGCGCTCACTTTGTAGGAGTGAATGCGGAGTTGTTCCGCAAGCGTCATGTTGCAAAGTAGCACGCTATACGCCATTGTTGGGTGCAAATTCACATTGCATGACATCCTGCCGTCTGTTTGTACGAGTATGCGTGTGCGAATGCATTTGCGTGTGAATGGTGTGTTCGTGTGTTTGTTTGCTTTCGCATTTTTCGCTTGATGCATTTGCAGGTACTCGCGCAATGTGCGCTTCGGCACAACATTGTATGCGCTATGAACAGTGCAAGCAGAAAGGACGAGCTCGCAAAGGAACCCAAGATGGAAGCTTTGCAGTTCGGTTGAGTTGATTGCGCAGATTCAGTTCTATCCAACTCGGAATTGTACTGTTTTGTTTGGTTAACTATAGTGTAGCAGGGAAGGCACTATAGGGGTACAATTTAGGTGAAGGTTGGATGTTGTTTGTCTGTATCTGCATGCTGCAAGGCCAGGGGAAACCAGCGGAACCAGCATTTGGCTGGTTGGGCAAAGACAAAACAGGTTCTGTTTTTAGAACCTGAACCTGGTTGTTGTTTTCCCAGGTTGGAAAAACAGAACCAGAGGTTGTTTACCAACCTACCACCTGCTATTTTGTCCAGCCAGGTTGGTTCTGTTGCTTGGAATTATTTGGGATCATCCCTGGTTGTTCCCAGGTTGATTCCCAAGGTCCTTGCTAGCTAGAACTATTTAATCCTTCTCTGTTTGTACCTGAATATAGTCAAATTGATTCATGTGAATTCCTTCCTCGCTGGAATTTCGTTTCTACGCGGTTCGTTGGCGGAATGCTACCCGAGTCAACGCTAGTACGCTAGCACTCTAATGCTAGGCAAACACCGTCTGAGCCATAACTTCGTAATGGCAGAACTTTTCGCGAGGCAACTTGGCTCATTTTAAAGCTCTTGGAGCGAGCTTCGATATAGCGAATTCTCAGCTTAATCCGATCGACGGTCTGCACGGCACGCTGCGCGACGTTCAAGGTACTCTTGCTGTTTTGACTAAGTCCTTCTTGATCCCTCTCTCTACAAACTCGGACCCGAGGATAGGGGCTGGTCTTGTACCAGGCACCCAGGGACCCTTGGAGGTGACCCCGAGGAGAGGTTTTAAGTTTGATTAAGTCCTAATAGCTTGAGTCTATTAGGCCCTTACACCAACAAGCTGGTATCAGAGCTGCGTTATAGTGATCCTTGTTATAGGTAGCTATGGCGGGCAACACCTCGGCGGGAGCTGGTGAATCTTCAGCCCAAGATCGTAGCGGCAGCCAAGATTCTGGTCTTTCAGCGCCAAGGGGAGCGCGAACAAACCAGGGCTCGCTTGTCAAGGAGGTGCTGAAGAATTTCACCGTCGAGAAGTTCAATGGTGAGGGCTATGATGATTGGGCCTGGAAAATGCAATTATATTTCCGTCAGATCGGTTTGCTGAAACTAATGATTGGGGAGGAGCCTAGACCGAGTGACCCCACGCTGCAGGAAGATTGGGACGAGCGCTCCTCGGCTGGCTACTATTTGATGTCGCAGAGTTTGGAGCTGAACCAGCGTCACCACGTCATGCACCTGCTGCCGGAGGTTGAATGCGGTCCGAAGGCGTGGACCGTGTTGAAGGAGCTGCACGCCCCGACCTCCGTTGTCGCAACGTTGATGCTGGAGAGGGAGCTGTCCGCGTTGCGCCTGAGCGAGGGAGAGCCGGTGCAACCAGTCCTGGACAAGATGCGCGACCTCTACGCGAAGTTGGCGACCGCGGGAATCACCTACCCGGAGCAGACCAAGTGCTTGAAGATGCTCTCGCTGCTGCCAGAATCGTGGCTTCAATTTACGAGCGGATTGAGCCTGCCGCAGAACCAGAGCTTGTGGACGCTCGAGTGGGTGCGGACGAAGATTCTGGAGGAGGACTTCCGTCGCCGCCAACTGAGGGGTGGAGACGACGGCAGCAGCGGCTACGGGATGCAAGGGAGCCGACGTGGCAGAGGACGTGGCTTCGGTGGTGCTGGACGCGGTGCAAAGAAAGACGACGACTCCAACGACCAACAAGGAGGTACCGGTTGGGGTCGCGGTGCGAAATCTGGACGTGGGGGCAAGTCGGGTGCTGGTGGCAAAATGAAAGGGAGTTGCTGGTATTGTGAGAAGGAAGGGCACCCCTGGTTTTTGTGCTATAAGAAACCCGATGGATGGACCCCCCAGAATCGTCACCAGGATGGCGGCGCGCGGAGGAACCAGAAAAACGGCGCCAACATGGTCGCTGATTCGTCCGACAACAACCCGAAGGGCAACGGCAGTGCGGAGAAGAAGAAGGAGCGCACCGCGGGCCAATTCTTCCATGTAGGAGACAAGGGGGAGCAAGGAGACGCCTCTGCCAAAGTTGGAGCAGAGCTGCACCCCCTAGACTATTGGGTGTTGGACACAGGCGCTGCTTGGACGATGACGCCGCGCAAGGACCTGCTGGACGAAGTACGAGCTGCACCGATCAATGAAGTGTGCTCCGCCTCTGGACACATGTTGAAGGTGGCTGGTGCGGGACGAGCTGCGTTTAAGGGAGCGGATGGCAAGCCGGTGGTGCTGCACGACGTTCTCTTCGTCCCCGACCTGAAGGCCAACCTTATCTCCCTCCGTAAGCTTGGCAAGGCTGGGGTGAACACCAACACGGATGGGGCACGCACTTATAAGGGGAAGCTGGGCAATCGGGTGCTTTGGGATCTGCACGAGAGCAAGGACGTGTACAGATCTATGTGGCAGCTGCCGGCCCTGGCGTGGCATGGTGGGGGGCAGGCTGGAGAGGGGTCTGCATCCCAGGGGGAGTGCAATGCCGTTGGAGGGGTTGGTGTGAAAGTGTCGGCCAGATCTGGGGAGACAGATTGGGCAACGGCACACCGGCGCTTAGGGCATGTGGCAATGCCTTTGCTGAAGCAGCTGGAGAAGGATGGAGCCGTTAAGGGTCTGAAGCTGAACGGACAGCCACCCGATGACAACTGTGAAATCTGTTTGCTTTCAAAGTTCACCCGTTTCCCTTTCCATAGTGTGGCTGGCAGGAGCAAGAAGCCTTTGGAGCTGGTCCACATGGACTTGGTGGGGCCGCTGCCGGTGCAAGGGCACAAGGGGGAGCGGTATTTTCTTACAATTGTGGATGACTGGAGCAGGCTGATGTGGGCGTATCCGCTGAAGCAGAAGGACCACGCCGCCTCCACGATACGGGACGATTGGCTGCCATTCGTGGAGAAGCAGGCGGAGTGTGTAGTGAAGCGGATTAGGACAGACCGGGGTGGTGAGTTCCTTGGAGCTGAAATGACGGCCTGGCTCAAGAAGCAGGGCATCCAGAGAGAGCTGACCACGGCTTATACCCCACAATCAAATGGTGTAGCAGAACGGGCAAACCGGACCATTCTGGAGACAGCTAGGGCGCTGCTCATAGAATCTGGGCTGAGCAACTCTATGTGGCCTCATGCTGTCCGGCACGCCACCGTCGCTAGGAACAGGGTGCTCACCAAGGTTGGGGATGACTCGTGGGTGCCGTTGGAGAGGTGGCTTGGGAGGAAGCCGCCGGTGGACATGCTGAGGGTGTTCGGTTGCATGGCAGTCGCCCACGTCCCCAAGACCTACCGCAGTAAGTTGGGGGCGAGTGCAATCTGGTGTGTGCATTTGGGGCTGGCTGCTGAGAGCAAGGGATGGCTGCTGTGGGAACCATCCAAGGGTGTGTTGTTTGACAGCAGGGATGTGAAATTCATTGAGGGCATGATGTATGGGAGCTGGGAGAAACAGCCGGAGGCAAGGGTGTCCCAGCAGATGGAGCAGATCACCATGCAGCTGGACCTGACTCCTAGTGTGTGGGAGGAGGGAGAGGAGGCAGCTGCTGGAAATGGTGATGGAGAGAAGGTACAGGAGGCATCTGCTGGTGGAGAAAATGGTGTGGAAACTGGCGGCAGCACTAGTGGAGCTGCTGGACCCGAGGGAGGAGAGAAGCAGCAGGGAAAAACTAAGAAGCCGAAGGGTGTCGTTATGAAGGGATGGGAGACACCCGTCTCCAGGCCAGGACGTACCCGTATGGCTACTAAGAAGCTGACTGCAGGAACTGATGCAGCAGAGCAGCAGCTAGGGACCGAAGAGGCATTGCTGATTCTACCTCATGGCTATGACCCGGATGAGGAGGATGAGCCTGCGTACTGTTTTCTTGCCCCTGCACCAGAGGAACCAGCTAGCATGGAGGAGGCATTAGCTGGACCAGATAGGGACAAGTGGCTGGCTTCTAGGGATGCTGAGTACCAGAGTCTGCTGGAGAATAGGACATGGGATCTGGTGGTGCTGCCTGATGGGAAGAAAGCGATACAATGCAAGTGGGTGCTGAGGATCAAGACCGATGACAAGGGGCAGGTCACCATCTACAAGAGTAGGCTGGTGGCGAAGGGGTTTATGCAGAAGGAGAAGCAGGACTTCAACGAGATCTTTGCTCCTACTGCCAAACCCCCTACCCTCCGTGTCTTGTTGGCAGATGCAGCTGTTAGTGGGAAATTCATCATTCAGATGGATATTTCAACGGCATTCCTGAATGGGATTTTAGAGGAGGATGTGTACATGACGCAGCCGCCTGGGTATGAGGATGGTACGGGCAGGGTGTGCAAGCTCAACAAGTCCATCTACGGCTTGAAGCAGGCGCCACGCTGCTGGTACCAGAAGTTGGCAGCT